AACCAATAATTAGAAATCCATAATACGAGACTGGTACGTCGAGCGAAATAATCCAAACAAGGAAACCCTCATGTATATACCATAAGTCTCAAGTTGTGAATCTCTAATCATTGATCCCAACTAAGAAGTAAAAATATAGTAAAAGAAATAAGATATTAACACATCGTATTTATAATATCTTCCACAATCACTGCAGAGATAGAATAAAATACCAACACATAATTTTATATACTTTCAAAAGTAACGTATCTCAGTTATATAGTTCACTGATAGGTCGTATTTATAATCAGCATCTATCATACTTAGGCTATCAAGTAATTGTCTCAGTGTGACGGACTACCCTATAGGTAAAACCCTCATGTATATACCATAAGTCTCAAATTGTAGATATCTAAATATTAATACCGAACTAAGGAAAGACAATCTAATGAAACCAATAATTAGAAATCCATAACATAAGACTGGTACTTCGAGCGAAATAATTCAAACAAGGAAACCCTCATGTATATACCATAAGTCTCAAATTGTGAATCTCTAATCATTGATCCCAACTAAGAAAAAAAAATATAGTAAAAGAAATAAGATATTAACACATCGTATTTATAATATCTTCCACAATCACTGCAGAGATAGAATAAAATACCAACACATAATTTTATATACTTTCAAAAGTAACGTATCTCAGTTATATAGTTCACTGATAGGTCGTATTTATAATCAGCATCTATCATACTTAGGCTATCAAGTAATTGTCTCAGTGTGACGGACTACCCTATAGGTATCATGAACTGTGTACACGGCTCATTAGTCTCATCGTGATATCAGTGCATAACATGAGTGCAGGACGGACTACCAAATAGGCATCCTAAAAATACGGCTCACGAGCCTCATCGTACCCTAGTGCGGGATGGACGGCTAGATCAAGACACCTAAAATCCGACTCAATGGCCTGTACATGTGGAATATCGACGCACTACCTCATGTAGTACTGAACTGAGCTCATCAACAATATCCACCTCATATAAATCTTTGTACCTCTGGCATGTCGATACACTATCCCATATAATACTGAGCTATACTCATCAATGATAGTTACCTCATGTATAAACCGTATATATCTGGTGTGTCGACGCACTATCCCATATAGTACTAAGCTGTGCTCATCAACGACATCCAACATGTATATGAACTATATTTAATTCAAATATGATCAAATCAAAAATTATCATAATCCCCTTGGGATTCTTAAATGTATAACATAACATATTCATGACTATACGTATAACATCAAGCGGCTCAAAACTCTGCGAACGCACCTCAAAACGGCGCAACACAGCTCCACAAAACGAGCAGGAAAAACAGACATGACATCTGTTTGTAAAACAAGCATATCTTTCTCTAGAAAAACTATTTTTATAAATGGTTTTCTGTTTTGAAAACTAGATTCATACATCTTTCAAATGACATAATTTTGGTTCATTTTAGAGTTCATTTGTTATCCCAAATCTCTAGTTAAACATTATATATGTGCAGCCGTTTTTTCTACAGGACATGTTGTTAGTAAAAAGATCATATATTTCTCTATACAAATGATTTTTAAGATTAGTCTTCTGTTTTAGAAACTAGATACATATATCTTTCATTTTGCACTAGTTTGGTTAAATTTGAAATTTATTTTCTATTTCTAAATCTCAGTTAAACAAGACACAATTGCTACGGTTTTCTGCAGAAAATATTTATTTAGTACATCTCTTAAATTTCTCATATATAAATAAAATTATGAAAACCCCTAATGATCATGATTATAATACTATCATAAAAAGCAAGAAAAGATTATTAATCTGGCATTTGTTTTAAGGTTTACTATCAAAAATCTGACTTTTAACACCTCAGGTTAAGATTAAAGCATGAAAACATATATTCAACATCATATTAATCTACACTAGTTATTTAACTATGGGGATAGGTTTGGATGAAGATAATCTTACCTTAATCTCATATGCAAGCCTCTGAAATAAACAGTAAGCAATCCATGAGCACAAACCACCCGTTCTCCCTCGTCACACGTTGATGATCTCGCCCTCGTGTCGATATTTGCTTCACAAAGCTCTCAAAACTCTCAACTTTAGGGCTAGGGATTCAGAGAGAGGAAGAGGGGCTACTAGGGTTTAAAACTCTGATATAAGGATGTTAATTTTCGTAAAAACACATGTTTATATATATATGCAAACCCGAACTAAACCCGTTTGACCCGAACCAGGAATCCTAATCTGACTAGGAAAATGACCTTTGGTATTTTGGCCATAACTTTCGTATCCGATCTCAGAATAAGGTGATTTAAGATTTATTGGAATTCTATTGAAAATACCTACAACTTTCGTATTTTGAGTTTTCCCAGATTCTAAGTTTATCATTGTGTAAAATCTATAAACTCTTAACTGGTCATTTTCTCATATTTTTCTCGTGCATGTTTTATGCATTTGCACTCATATATTCATATATATGTATCGAATTGATCTCAAATCAATTCTTAGCATACTCAAATATCAATAAATATTATTTATCATGATATAACATGTTTATTATTATATCTCACAACATTCAGTATTACGGGGTTTTACAGTCATCATCAAATGAGCTTTTGTGATTCGAATGGCAACGTTCATCATCTTCTCTCTATCTCGAGCCACGTGCGGGGACCTATAGGCAATTTTGACGCCTACACTTATTGCTTTATATCGATAACATGTTGGTTGTTTCTACTTTCAGATCCGTGATAGATAGATTGAAGATTTAGCTTTCGAGCAAGCTCGAGATGAAGGATTTGGGTGAAATGATGCGTATTTTGGGAATGTAGATCGGCAGAGACAAAGACAATGGCAGAATTTATTTAACACAGGTGGCTTATTTGAAAAAAGTTCTATAGCAGTTCAATGTGAGCATGGAGCCGAAGCCAGTTAGTATACCATTGGGAGCCCATTTGAAGCTTTCAGCTGATCTTTCACCAAAGACAGTTTAAGATAGAGAGTTGATGTCGAAGACTCCATATAGGAGCGTAGTGGGAAGTTTGATGTACATCATGGTTTGTATGAAGTCAAATTTGTCACAGGTAGTGAGCATGGCTTCGAGATACATGCACGACCAGGTCCGGGTCATTAGGATGCCGTGAGATTGATTTTGAGGTACATTCGAGGTACTCTCAATGTTTGTTTGGTTTTTGAGTGGGATACTAGCGGTGGGCAGCTATGTATTGGATACATAGATTCGGACTACGCTGGAGATTTGGATAAATATCAGTCGACGACGAAGTATGTGTTCACTTTAATCCGTACGCCAGCGTGTTGGAGATGCACCTTGTAGTCTACAGTGGATTTGTCTATGACTAAGGCAGAGTATATGGTGATTACGGAGGCTGTTAAGGAGGTGATTTGGCTTGAAGAACTTTTGGAGGATCTTGGTGTTTCGCAGCAATCCGTCACCATTTATTATGATAGCATGAGTGTTATTTATTTGGTGAAGAATCAGGTCTTTTATGCGAGGATGAATCATATCAACGTTCAATATCACTTCGTTCGAGATGTTCTTGAAGATGGGGATGTGGAGCTCGTGAAGGTCCACACAAAAGACAATCCAGTAGATATGCTCACAAAGGTGGTTCCGAGCAACAAGTTTGATCATTGTAAAAACTTATTATAAATTCGTGATTGTTGAGGCCATTCGCAGTCATTTGGATGAACTACGGGCGGGTTGATCCATTGGGAGAGGGGGTATGTGGGCAACCACATTGGTGCAGCCGAATTTGATGAGACGACGCAGTGGTGCTCATATTTGGTGTCAGCTCAGTTTTTTGGGAAAATTTTGCCGAGGTGGAGAATTATCAAAAATACGAAAAAATTAGGAAAATTGAAGCTAATAAGCAGCTACAGGGTTCATCGGGTCGGTCGACCGAAGGAGCAAGGCTGGTCGACCGACGCAATCGCCAGAAAGTTGGTTTTACAGGATTTGAGGGTCGGTCGACCGATGGGGGGTGACCGGTCGACCGATTTCGTGCACATTACAGGGTGAGAAATTGAGCTTATGTCCGGTCGACCGATTGAATATATGCGGTGAACTAATAGCAGTTATTGGCCTGATTCGTTTTCCTGGGCGGTTTTGGATTGGGTGTTTGTATAAAATACAAACACGATTTTTAGGGTTTCAAAACCAGAGAATTAGCATTGTTTTGAGCACTTTGAGAGTGAGATATTGTGAGGGAGTTGAGAGCTTTGGTTAGAGTTATATTTGAGTGATTTTATGAGTTGTAACCCGTTATTTTTCTCCTCTATATAGTGAAATCTCCCCATCCTCTCCTCGTGGACGTAGGCAATTGCCGAATCAGGTAAATCTCTATGTTTGGTTTTATTTGTGTCGTATTTTGATGAATTACACTCGTGTTTTGTTTAGTTCTCTTCTCTCATCACTTGCGGACTCGATTGGTTGTCGAGCACGCTTTCGCACGTCACGCAACATCTTCAAAGTAGATAAATAATTTCTACAAACGAGTAGGTTGCTACCGTTCGGCTAGCTAGACTTGGTTTGATTTGCATGTCTCACTTGTAAGACATTAAATATTTATAGGAGAGCTCTTAACTCTTCACCTCCATATCGGAATCCTACACCACTAACTTCTCCATTTAATCCACACTTAATTAATGATCATTAATCTTTCAAAACTTCCAAAAAATAAAAAAATAAAAAACTAAAAAGACACCAACTCTTCATTATAAAATAAAGAAGTGAAAAATCCCTTTTTGAAACCACTTATTAAATATATATAAAATAAAAACTAACAGGATAGTGACCAAATGAATATGGGAAATGGCGTAGGCACGCACTGATGGAGTAGTTGCACCTTTTGTTTTTTTAAAATTTGCTTGGGATAAGCTCATGCTAGCCTGTAAAGGGAATTATTATGCCATTCTTGTAGCCTATATATATAAAACGTACCCTACTCTTCACTAGCTCCACAACACTTCACGATTACTATCTATATATAATAATATAAATAGAATCCGACTCTTTATCACCAGCTCAATAATACCTTGAGAGAGAGAGAGAGAGAGAGGGAGGGAGAGAGATGGAAAAGCTGGTATCAGATGGACTTAGCCGTGGGAGTGTAGTGCCAGAAACATACATATTTCCCGGGGAACAACGTCCAAACACTGTGAGAACTTGCGAAAGCATTCCTGTCGTAGATCTTCAAGGAGGCAGTGAAGATGAAGTTGTCCGAGAAATCCTCAAAGCTGGGAAAGAATATGGTTTCTTTCAGGTTATTTATTTATACAGCATTTTTTTTCTTCGGATTCACGTTCTCTCCACTATAAAAAGAAAATAGTGAAGAGATTACCACTTAGAATGAATCATAGCCATCCACTAAATAAATTAACGATTACGATAAAATTTTCTCTATTTTTTAAGCAGCAGAGAGAATTCAGATCCCATATTTTCCTTGTTTAATGAGTTCACAATCCAAATCCAAATACTTTGATGCTTATATTCACCGAGCATCCTATCCAATAATACATGTTTCTTTCAGAAATCAAGTATACATCAAATTTAAATTTTATTAATTAATTTTACAGATACATAAACTATTGAATGGTTAGATGAACAAGCCAATTCTATTTGTCATTTGGAACTCGTTTCCAGCCCTGCACACGAGCAACGCAGTTCACTTGTATGTGGAAATAGTGCTCAAAATCCCAATTGCAATCTAATCCTTATTGCGGAGAGCGTGCTTATCTGTTTTGATGGATCATGGACTGCAGGTAATTAATCATGGAATTCCAGAAGATCTGGTTAATGACATGATCAGTGTTGCTCAGGAATTCTTTGAGATGCCTGCTGAAAACAAAGCTTGTTATTATTCGGAAGATCCAAGAAAAGAGCCCAGACTTTTTACAGGCCAAGGTTACGGAAAAGAATTATCTCTCTACTGGAGGGACTGCTTCATTATTTCTGCATATCCAGTGGCGAAATTCGAGCATCTTTTTCCAGAAAAACCTGATAATTTAAAGTAACGTATATAACATTAATTCATATATATATATATTGGTGGATATCTTGCAGTGAACGAAACTAGTGCTATATGTTTCAGTAACATTTTTTGCTTTTGTATCTGAAGGGAGATCATGAGCAAGTTTGCACCAGAGGCAAAGGGGTTAGCGGCTAGACTTTTAAGGCTCATCTCCATTGGTTTAGGGCTGGAGGAGGATTATTTGACTGGAAATCGCAGTGGAGGCCCAGTGAAGATGGTTTTTAACTACTATCCGCGATGCCCGGATCCAAGCTTAACATTAGGTTTGCCGAAGCATTGCGATCCAAATCTCATCACTCTTCTCCTTCAAGGAAAAGTTAGCGGGCTCCAGGTCCTGCACGATGACCGATGGGTCTCTGTCGACCCTCTCCCTAACGCCTTTGTGGTAAATTTTGGACTTCTATTTGAGGTAACTTGTTCAATCTCTTACAATTTGGTTTTATGTGTTTCTTTACTAAATTATATTTAAATCGATCCATTTATACTTCAAGATTTTCGTGCATGGTAATATTTTGTCGTAAATCACTAGGTTTGCTTTAAGTTGTTACATTTCGTAATAAATTGCTATGTTTTGTTGTAAGTTGGTCGTATATAAACCATCTGAAATGCACGATGTATTCAATTGAAAAGTAATTCAGAAAGTATTTTGGTTTAAGAGTGATTTTGACAGTGGGTAGCCTAAATGTTAATTAATAGGTCTAAAGTGTTTGGTCTGTCAGCAAAAGATCGTGCAGTTAATTGGATTGGGATAAATTTATTAAAGAGAACCGCGCAATAACTCACTAGTACAAAAAAAGACAGTCCAAACGGTTGCAATAACCGTTTGAACTGTTCTATTTTGTACTAGTGACTGGAAAACCTTTTTCCTTTGGTCTTTTGTGCTGCCGGCACAGGCTTGATGCAGTATGCTTATATACACACTTTTTTTAATGTAGCTTAATTACTGTGAAATATTATTTCATCGGAACAGGTAGTAACTAATGGATTGCTAAAGGCGGTGGAGCATCGAGCTGTAACGAACCATAGTTTGGCAAGAACGTCGATCGCCTTGCCCATCAGGTCCGCCGATGCTCTTCTAAGCAAGGATAACAACCCTCCCCTCTACGGATCCTTCTTGTTTCCAGAATTCTTCAAGATCTTTGCTACCAAGAAAACTGATGATAAAGAAATCATGATGGAAGACTTTAGGATCAAAGGTTAACTTATGCATAAAAATTAAGGATCCCATTATGATTTGTGTGTAAAATTCAGCTGTCATCAGTTTGTGTTAATGTTATTTGTGGTTAGTTTTTGTAAGCGTACGTGTGAATTGTTTCAACTGTTTGTCTAATGCTGAGGGATTGAGTAGTTTGGTGTTGCCTTTTACTACTACTCAGAAGCTAGAAAACTTGGGGCTTTGTTTCTGTAAAATTGCATCTGGGCTTTCTATTGCTACAAAGTATTAATTTGATGCATCATTACCATTCAGAACTAGTGGATTGTTTTTCTTAGTCCTCCGCTGCGTGCGTGACACAAGAAACTTGTGTATAATTAAAAAGTTGACAACACTTTAATAATATTTTCTAATTAAAAAGTGGAGGTAAATTGCGTCACGGGTTATTACAAAATAATGGATATTTGTGTTTGCCATATCACATATGGACAGTGATGGAGCCAAAAATTATTTCTGTCGTGTCAATTGCGTCACGGGTTATTACAAAATAAAGGGTATTTGTGTTTGGCATATCACATATGGATAGTGATGGTGTCAAAAATTAGTGCTGTAGTGTGTGTATATATATATATATATATATATATAGAGGTGAACTTATGTTAACTTAAGTGGACAAGAGGTCTTTGTCCACCAAACTTATATATTGTTTGTGGAAAAATTTGCAGTAAAAGAAATGAAGAAAAATTGATTTGTATTCCTTTAATTTCAGTTACAATTGGATTTCCTGATTACAAAAGAGAGGAGAATGATCTGGATTCCCCCTTTGTTTAAGTCTGGGTTCTTCACGGTGGCGATGAAATGCCTCCCTCGAATGCTCGCGTCGAGTTTGCTTCTCGTTGACGCGGTGGCGATGAAATGCCTCCCTCGAATGCTCGCGTCGAGTTTGCTTCTCGTTGACGATCCGAACGTCTTGATTCACTGGAATTCACTGGAACGTGATTTTCTCCTCACGATTTGACGTTGTGGAGAACTTGCGTGGCAAGTTTGAAAATAATTCTTAACGAGTTAATAACTTAGAGCGAGTTTTAGAAGAACTTGAAGAGCAAGTTTTGAACTCTGATCGAGTTGATAACTCCGAACGAGTTTGAAACTCTATGAAAGAGTTGATTTAACCAAAAATCGGTTTGACAAGCTAAGGCCGAAAGCTTTAAGGAACTTTTTCGCTGCAGGAAGCTCCAGTAATTCCCCCAAAAAGTCAGCCGAAGATCTCTTCTTTGCTGCCAATTCTCAGGTCCAAAAAGCCAGCCTTTAACTCGGTTGAGTTTATCCCTATTTATAGGAGATTAAGGGGTGTAACCACCCCCTTAATTCGCTCCTAAGTGGGGCTGAATGAGGTGTAAACGCCCCCTTAAACAGCTCCCCAAATCATGGGGAAAACAGTTATAAAACCGTTCAATTCGTGCTTTGAACGAGTCAAACGCTAAAAAATAGCTTTTAGGGCCCGAACTCTGCGTTTTTAGACTAAAAACGCAGAGTTGAGCCTATTTTGGTGGTTGAATGCACAGGTCGCGCTGCGTTGTAAATCTTAAACGTAGAGTTAGGACGCAGAGATGAATTCTGCGTTTTGGCATCTAAGACGCAGAGATGAACTCTGCGTTTTGGCATCTGAGACGCAGAGATGAACTCTGTGTTTTGGCATCTGAGACGTAGAGATGAACTCTGCGTTTTGAACCTGGGACGCAGAGTTGGGCTCTACAAGAACTCTGTGTTTTGAGTCCATATTTTCGAGTTTGGAACGCAACCACGACCTCTGCGTTTTGAATCTCAAATGCGGTCACGACCTCTGCGTTTTTAGTTTAGAACGCGGGTATGACCTCTGCGTTTTGAGTTCAGAACGCGGGCATGACCTCTGCGTTTTGAATCTTGGATGCAGAGGTGAGCCTCAGGCGTGCTCAGTGAGCTTCAGGCTAAGTCAAATGTTCAGGCGAAGTGCAGTCTCACAGACGGACTTCAGAACATAACTTGCTGCGAAGAACAGGTCATAACTTTCAAACCGTAAGTCGGAATTGGACGAATTATATATGAAAATCGGCTATCTCGACGAGACGGAGCAGACCAAACCGACCCCATAGGGTTCGGTTTGCTCCGTTAGTTTTGCCAAACTCCTTACGGTTTGAGAGATATCAACGTTTTGATTTGAAGAGATCGTCGATTTGCAGTCTCAAACAAGTGCAGGGGGGAAAAAGGAGTAGAAATGTCACATCGCCTAGTTGGCCACTATCTAACGAGTTTGACTATCAGATGTAGCTGTTAACATGATAGTTGTTGGATCTACCATCCTACTGAAAAGGATTATCTTTAGTGGTCGTAGTATCTCCCCCTGACTGAGAAGATTAGGCTGGGTCCGATTGCTCAGGTTGATCCTGCCTACTTTGTTCTTCAGCTCTAATCCTGCCAATAATCTTTTGAGGCTGTTCGCCTTGAGAGATTAGTTAACTCCAGGAACGACATTCTGCAACTCTCATTCGGGCTAGAAGGTCGGTCTGCAAGTTGTGTTGATAGGTCTCCACTAAGATAGATTGTGTCATACCTGTCGGACATCGTAGAGTCATGTTTCGAAACCTTTTGACGAAGGCTTTGACAGACTCCCTCTTCTTCTGCTTAGTGGCGAGAAGGGTATGGATGGAGACTTCTGTATCCTCTTCAAAGAATCTTGATAGGAAGAGTTTCTCTAGATCCGCCCACATTTGGATACATCCCGTAGGAAGTTTCCTGAACCATTCAAAGGTAACTCCCTTGAGGATGCCAATGAACAATCGAGCCAGTATGGCGTCGTTTGATATCACATTCCCAGTCTGTGATTTGAAATGATAGATATGTTGGTTCGGTGATCCCGTACCGTCAAAAGTTTGTAGCGTCGGGACTTCAAACTTTGGAGGATAAGGGGCAGCATCCCATTTGGTAGGATAGGGTCTGAAAACTCCCTCATCTTGAAGCTCGCTTTTGTTAGCAATGGCATTGAGGCGGGCTTCCAATTCTTCCATTTTGCCAGATTGGAGATTTTGCTCGTTCTCCGTTTCTCTTCCTTCATCAGAGGAAGATTCCAGGCTGTGGGCTTCTTGGTCAGAAGCCGCATCATCAACCACTTTTCCCTTCCCTTTGCTTGTGTGAGGTCGGGATGAAGACGATTTTCCTCTCCGGGAAGATTGTTGCATAGGTGGCTAATCTGTGATTTGAGCATGGCCTCCTGCTCATCAACCCTCTTTGAAAGATCTTCAGAATATTCTGCCATGTGAGCGAAGCTCTCATGCCCAACGAAAGAGCTTGATGATTGGGACTCCGCAATGGCTGAGTGTTCGTCATCGGAATTAGTTCCTCTGGCTAAACTCCGATAGTTGATAGGAGGAATGGCTCCTGTTCGAGTCCGAGTGCGTTGGTAGATTCCTTCAAACTCGTTAGCGATTTCTCTGACGCTTGGAGAACGATCTGTCTCTGACTCATCAGAACTAGGGGTTGATGATCTCCCTCAGCCAACCATGTTAGAAGTGACTCCAAGGTATTCATCCTCTAAAGTCTTCTTCCTGTGAGAATGTCGTCGATTATTGAGCAAAACGACGTTCGTCGGTCGGTTGAACATCGACAGCCATTTCGCAAGTCAGAGACTTAGGATAAACCTCTCACAGAGCGTGAGGGTAGAAATGGAACCCCCTGTCCGTTAAAGGATGGGACTGGTTCTTGGCAAACATGAATTTTAAATCCATGTTGATCATTTTGACCACGACGAATCACATCACGTTCCAAAGAAGGAACATGAGGGTCGTGTTTAGCTTGATTAACGCAAGACCAAAGTCTGCGTTTTGCTAGTGAAACACAGTCCTGCAATCTACGTTCAGATTCTGAAACGCACTCCTGAGAGTTGCGTTCAATTTGTGGAACGCACTCCTGAGAGTTGTGTTTTGGTTGTGGGACGCACTCATGAGAGTTACGTTCAACCAGATCAACACAGGTTTGATGTCTACTTTAAATGTTGGAACGCACTCCTGAGAGTTGCGTTTTGGTTCTGGGACGCACTCCTGAGAGTTGCGTTCAGCCAGATCAACACAGTTTTGAGGTCTGCTTTTTGATGTTGGAACACGCCTCTGAAGGCCGCGTTTTGGTTCTGGGACGCACTCTTGAGAGTTGCGTTCAGCCAGATCAATGTAGTTTTGAGGTCTATGTTTTGATGTTAGAACGCGCCTCTGAAGGCTGCGTTCTATCTGGGAAACGCACACCTGAGGATTGCGTTTAGCTTGGCTTATGCAGAGCTCATGTTGAGGCTCGCAAACGCGGAGTTCGTGTTGATTGGAGGATCTGCTTTTTTGGAGTTGTGCCGAAGTCGATTCTTCTCCTTTAGAGAAGGGACTGTATGAACAGTGCAACCCCCATGGGAGATAGTCTTTAGATGAGTTGGTCACAACTGGAGCTTTAGTCTCCTCAGAAACTTTGTGGATCTTGCGCATAGCCTTGGGGCTAAGGGATCCGGAGGAGAGGGCCTTCTCAAACTTGGCTTGATCAAACTCTACCACGAGAGTTTCAACCGTTGTTCCAGCGAGGTTGACGTCGGATTGCACCACCACATCTTCATCCGAGAAGCTAGTCCCCAGCAGAGTTGCCATCTTTTGTTTGTTGGAAAATTTGTAGTAAAAAGACAGTGAAAGAAAATTAACTTGTTTTCTCTCAAAATCGATTACAATTTGGATTTCCTGATTACAAAAGAGAGGAGAATGAATTTGATTCCCCCTTTGTTTAAGTCTGGGTTCTTCACGGTGACAATGAGATGCCTCCCTCGAATGCTCGCGTCGAGTTTGCTTCTCGTTGACGATCCGAACGTCTTGATTCACTGGAACGTGATTTTCTCCTCATGATTTGACGTTGTGGAGAACTTGCGTGGCAAGTTTGAAAATAACTCTTAACGAGTTAATAACTCAGAGCGAGTTTTAGAAGAACTTGCAGAGAAAGTTTTGAACTCTGATCGAGTTGATAACTCCGAACGAGTTTGAAACTCTATGAAAGAGTTGATTTAACCGAAAATCAGTTTGACAAGCTAAGGCCGAAGACTTTAAGGAACTTTTTCGCTGCAGGAAGCTCCAGTAATTCCCCCAAAAAGTCAACCGAAGATCTCTTCTTTGCTGCCAATTCTCAGGTCCAAAAAGCCAGCCTTTTACTCGATTGAGTTTATCCCTATTAATA